AAAGCGAAATCTGCTTCGAAGGTGGCAGACTTCTCGTCACACTCTTTTGTGCGCACTCGATAATGTAATATTTAAGAGATCATTTACAGTTATACGTATATACAACGTTATTCCGCAATCTCGCGAAACATTCGCGAGATAATTTCAAGTTCTGTCCCCGATTCGAACTTACGCTTTCCTCGTGGACTTTTAATCTTCACGTTCGTGCGATGGTTCAACGAAACATCCAAGCCGCGAAACGAGCGCGCATAAATTGCGCGTTGATAAGCGCACACATTGCGACGCTTCCCGTCAGATGGTAGCATCTGATGGATGCAATGGTCGGCTGCGGCCGGCTACAAAGGAAGAAGCGAGCCAATCGCGAGGCAACGATTCTTCCAGGAAGTGGGGCGCACGTGCACATTCACGTGGGTGACACGGGCGACGTCGGGAAACGACACATGAGAAACTACGTCGTCGGGCCACTGCCGTCGATAAATGGACCGTGCGTCGGTATCGCCAGAGAGTTTCGAGGGATTTCGAAGGAGAAAAAACAACGGAGAAAGAAGGGAAAGAGAGACTTGCACAGGGTGTGGGATGCGCGAGGGTGCGATCGGCAGCCGACGCTGAGGAGAGTACGCGCGGTGGTTCGGTTACCACGAAAGGAATCCGGGAGTCGAAGCCCTTTATTTCGGTGGTCCTAACCATCATAAGGCCCTACCGAAATGGCGCCGAACGGCTCCGCTGAGGTACCCATTTCCACTTTTGTCGTCGCTTTTTTTCTCCCTTTCTCCTATTTTTTTCTTCTTCTTTTTTTCTTTTTTTTTTTCTTTTTTTTTGCGCAGTTGAAGGGGTTGCGACGAAGGGGAGTCCGTCGAAGAATGAGCGACGTTTAAAAGGGTGGAGTCGATTCTCGTGGCTCGTTGCTTCGTTCGTTCTCCGTCTCTCGCGCCGTTCGGCCTCTTCGTCTTCTGCGGCTCCGTTCCGCAGCGCGACCCTACGCGATTTCTCGACGCGGCGCGGCGCGGCGCGCCGCGGCGTCTCGAGTTTAAACTATACTACTAACTAATTGCATACCCCGGCGAGTGTGTTTCGACAATGTGGGCACACACCGCGCGCCGTGGGCAGACAGTTTACCTAATCGTCGGGGTCCGAAAAAAGAGTGGCCCGCTGTACCGCCCTAACCACAGGCCCGGGGCCCGCGGCGACCCGCTCACTCCCCCAGAGCGCCCTTCCGAAGCGGCGTTCCGTACCAGTTCCAACCCCGACCCCGGCAGCGGAGTTCTTAATTTTCCGAAAATTTATCGCCCCGGCTCTTTTAATCGCGCTGCGCTCCACGGCTGCGAGAGACGGAAACGCGCGAACTGCGCCGAATCTTTATGCGTCGCACTCACGTTGGCAAGTTGGAACGCCAAGACGTTTCTTGATGCTTTTCTCAAGCAACAATGCCTCTCTCTCTCTCTCTCTCTCTCTCTCTCTCTCTCTCTCTCTCTCTCTCTCTCTCTCTCTCTCTCTTTCTCTCCCTCTCTCCCTCTCTCCCTCTCTCTCTCTCTCTCCCTCTCTCTCTCTCTCTCAACTCTTCCTTACTCATGAATAGAAACGACTAGATCGGGAAGGTTAAAATTGCACTCTGGACATTATAAGACAACTGTGACCGATGGATCGAGTTTATATTTTTTTTATAAAAACTTGCTTAAAATGCAAAATTAGTCACTCTGGAAACATGCACTCATCTACCACGATAATTAAGTTCGCGACCTATCTCGCGATTCGACTGTAACACGGCCCGGCTTCTCACAACGCGCTCACTCGGTACCGAGAGGGGGAGAGAGAGAGAGAGAAAGAGAGAGAGAGAGAGAGAGAGAGAGAGAGAGAGAGAGAGAGAGAGAGAGAGAGAGAGAGAGAGAGAGAGACTAACCGAATGCCCTCGCCCTTTGCCGCCGGTAATTACTTCACGGTTCATCCTCATCATCATTATCCAAAGGTGACCGAAATTAGTGTTCAGAAGCCTGAAAGAAGAAGAACGCTCGCGCTTTGGCCGCCTGCTCTCGGCGTTGCCGTCGCGAGCGCGAGCGAAGATCTCCGTGCGCGGCAACTCCTGGAATTCTGGACCGATCCTCGTGGTCCCTGTGGGACCCACGAGGTCGCCGGGGCCCTGTGACCCTTAGATAAGGCTCACGCCCTAATAAGAGGGTACACGGTGGAGCACCGTGAGGGGACCGTGGCAGCTTCTCTTCCTCTTTCCTCCGCGTCTCGTTCTTTCTTTTTCCTCGCTTTTTTTTTTCTTTATTTTTTGCCTCGCAATCGTAGCTCGGGGCCTCGCCCGACTGAGCGATCTAATCCGCCGGGTAATCTGTGGTTAACGTTTTAGGGCAGACCCGCGGGGTCTCATGACATTCCACAGTCATTGACTCCCACAATTGCCGAGGCTTTGCGCTCCGCGAACTCGCTGCCACCTCGCAAGCTCGCCTCGGGTTTTCACCCTCCCCCCCTTCCGCGCGCAGCCCGTCGCGTTTCGGCGGTCGCTCTCGGCTCCGGTCCTAACCGCGAGTCCTTTGCACTGTCGCGAAATACACGATAAATATTCGTATCCGTCGTCCGTATTGAAGATAAGCGCTAATATTATACTAATTAATATGCTAAAGTTAGTGCAAAACGCGCGCATACGCGTGCTGTCAAATTTCTACGATGTTACGCGGATAATAGTACTGAAAAGAAGAGAGAGTAGTTTGCGGACTATTCCAACACGGAATTCCCGTAAGCGGCGTTTTATTTTTATTAAACGAAATAAAAGAAGGATCACCCACGATTGCCGGTGTGAAATAGCATCGGATCGCTGTGCGAAACGTTGTCCTCGATTTAGGAAAACGATTAGCCTCTTCCGTGAGACAAGTCGCTGCGCTCTGTAGGGCAGAATACCAGGAACCGTAACATTGTGATTATTGTAATTAAATCGTTGCCCCGGGCTGCGGTAAAGGATACGCGCAGCGCCGGATGGTCCTTCTCTTCCTCCGCGCTTCCATTCGTCTTTCTCCTTCCTCGAAATTCATTTCCACTCGTCGCTCCGTTGCTCGTCCTCCACCGCTTTCTTTCTCTCACTCTTACGCACTCTAACTCCCCACTCTACTTCCTCCTCCTCCTCCTCCTCCTCCTCCTCCTCCTCTTTGGCACTCTCGGCTACCTGCAATCGTAAAACACATCGCCTTTTTGTATCCTCCGGGCCGCAACAATCTTATCGGTGATTTCGGTGCTAGGCGATTATTTTTTCGCACTTGGCGCTGAAACCGATTAATCATTGCCATTCTAAAATCACACAGAGACGAGCACAATTAGCGTGGCTAAGTTTAGACACGATTGATAAATTGGGTACAAAAAGTGGAGATAAAGTGCGGTCGCCGCATAAACATGGTGCGTTTCCATTTAAATAAAAAGGAAATAATAAATAATATAACTTCTTATACCTATTTATACATTGTTACCTATTTATACATTGTTTTCCACGTGTGTGAACAAATGTACAATATATATATATATAAATAAATGTTATTCTACGGGCACACGGTGCAACAAGCGTGTGCTTTCGCTATAAACTCGAGATAAGAATTGCTGGAAGCGCGTCCAGATAAGAAAGTTATAACAGCCACTTCGCATAATTGATATAGATTGTATCTCTTCGTCGGGCAAACAACGATCGATATCGCATTATATCCATTATCGGCTTTATATACTCATATACACATATATATATATATATCTGTTAAATTAGCGAGAATGTATAGCCAACTATTCCCGCTAATTTAATTTAAAATAACGTAGAACACACACGTGAGACGAACGTCGCGCTCGCGGGCTGACCAGGAAACGGATAAGCAACGTGACGACAGGCTCCGGAATTAGCTCGATGATGAAGGAGCGCGAAGGGTGAGCCGAGCGCCGCTCTTGTTTGCTTGGCGTTTCATCACGCTTTATTGTCCGTGGAGAAGGTGCGGGAATTAATTAAAGTTAAACAGCACTAACTGATCGGCAAGCGCGTTAACTGCCGCCCATTGTCGGGAAAGCGGGAACGATGGTCAGCCTTGTTCTACGCGGATACGCGTGATGACTTACGTCGGGGAAGGGATCGACCGGCGCGGCGCAGCAACTGCCGCTTGTTTACCCTCGCGAGAAATTGAACCTGGGGGATAGCGGTCGGGTACCGGATGCGTCTTTTCCTCTTGTGCGAGTCGTGTGTTAATCACAAAATTCCATCCGCTGTTCATATTCAGACCGGCCGTTAAAAAACGAGAGAGAGAGAGAGAGAGAGAGAGAGAGAGAGAGAGAGAGAGAAAGAGAGAGAGAGATGAATGTGCGCACGGCGTGGAATATTCACTCGTTAGGCGCGAGCGCAAATTATCGTATAAAAGAATAATCACAGTGCGGTCCATATAATTTTACATTACACACACTAAATTCGACGCATCTCCGTGTTTAAAAGATTGTCTCCTATCCTTTCAGAATGCTTTCTCTTTGTCACTTTGTTTCCTCGGTTTGCTTCGTTCACATTGATATGTGATATCATGAAAATGGACAAATGTATATATACTTGTGACGCAATACGCATATGTGACACTTGTACTTGATAAAAAATGGAAAATTCTCACGACGAATTTCGAACAGAAACTACTTTTCTTCTTCTTCTTTCATAAAACTTCGCTTTTCGATACATTTATCCCTTTGATACAAGAGTAATCAATATTATTTATATATACAAAAAATATATATAATAATTCTCTCCGCTCATTCTCTCTCCTTTTCTCGATGTCAGAAAATAAATATACTATAGTGTGATAATCCTAAAGAATGTTACATCAGTATTATACTACTCCTCTCTCTCTCTCTCTCTCTCTCTCTCTCTCTCTCTCTCTCTCTCTTCTCTAGAAACTCTTTATAATATATTAAAATTTCTTTTTCATTAATATCCTTCTTATATGAATATTCATATCTGCGAAATTTGTTGCTTAAATAAAATATTGATGCTGGCATGTCTCATAACCTCAAATTGTAGAGAGTCAAAATGAAAAGACGGGTGAAATTTTGAGAAAAAGACGAGACTGTTGTTGCACCAGCAAGACACGCGCATGTTCTCTTGTGTATGAGTTTTTATTTTTCAATTCATAACAACAACATTCAAAGAAGTACGTTCTACGTTCGACTAGGGTGAGGTATTCTCTCGTTCTTCTCTTTCTATTTGGTAAGACCGATAATATATTAACAAACAGCCGCACCTTTAATTCTCGCGTTATCGGCACATCGATAAGAATCGAAAGGACTCGGTCGGGTTATGGACGACGATTTAAGAACGAAAGCACACGACAGTGTAAAGACAGTTGACACTCACGAGTACATTGTTATATCTACACGCATATTATGTATACGTATATTTACAGTGATCTTATAAATTAATGGTAACTAATAGAAAGAGGAAAGGAACTGGAGGGGGGGAGGGAACGCGCGCGCGCGCGTGTGTGTGTGTGTGTGTCACGTGAAAATGAAATAGGAAACACCGATGTGTCAAGGATCAAATGAACGTCTCTCTCTCTCTCTCTCTCTCTCTCTCTCTTCTCATAGCCATCTCTAAGTTCCTCGGTAAATGCTCGGTAAATTAAATCGGAATGAAAATTCGTCTCGTCGCTCGAGTCCTCGTTATCGAACGGTGTCTTCGGTGTGAATCCGAATGAAACACCAGTCGCGCACGAATGAATGAAAAATACGAACGAACGAAAGGACGAAAACCCGCCCGACTCGACACGACTATCATCGGGTGTTATTCCCCTAATGGAGAATCGACACCGAATTCACCGAGTACAATCTGTTTCACGCGAGGGGGACTGCGGGTATTCCGATACAGACTTAATGCGAGGCGTGGGTGGTCTACACGGGTAGCGGTATCTCACTCCTAGATTAAAAGAGGAAGATCTTCGGGACCTCACTCGCGCGGCTCGCCGCGCCGGTGGCACCGAGATGGGCGAAGGTGCCGCGGTTAACTGCCAACGAGATTGTCCTTCTGCTCTTCCTCCAGAGCGGCCTTATCTGATCTAAATTTCTAATTTTACGGGAAAAACGCGCGAGGATGTCTAACGACCCGGGGCGGGAAAGCCGGTTAACAGCGTCGATATACGCGCGCGCGCGCGCGCGCGACATCGGCACAGCTAACGTCGTCGCACCTCTCACGGCGCGTAGATCCTTGTCTCGCCGGGCGAACAATCAATTATCCCGACGCCTGCCGACCGAATCGTAACTGTGAACGCACTTTTAGGAACTGGACACCGTACACCTTTCGAGAGCCGTAAGAAAAATCTCTCCCGGGACACGAGCGATGTCTCCTCCTCTTCCTCTCCCGTTAACGCGCGACCCCGTGACTCCCAAGCGCAATTAAAACGGTATCGCGCGATCCTCTCGAGATTTATTGCACTGTCCGACTGGTCATTGCACTGTCCGAGCAATAATTTTTAATGCTTGACGTCACCTCGGAAACGCAAAGTACTCGCAAGCGTCTCAAGTCGCTCGCACATGCTGCGAATAAATGCCTAAAATTCCTAATCGTTCGCTAATTAATTGCTCCAATTATTTGGTTAATTCTTCTCGATGGCAATCGAGTTCGGTGTGTCGCGTGTGTAAATATCTTTCGGATCAAGTAAATTACGTCAGAAAGCGCACGATCGAAAGTCTCGTCGGTTGGACAGCGATCGCGATTGAGTTGACGCGCCAACAGTCTGTACCAACGTCGCATCTCGTCATTAGAAACTAAATGCTTCGTCGTGTCGTCAGGTGACGAGTTAGAGAGGAAATTAGTCGTGCAAACACGCGCGCAGTTTTCGATTCGTACGTGCGGGGAATATACTGCTTTCGTGCATCGCGCGCGGATTACAGCGTCTAGTAAGAGTATCTATAAATACGTATATATGTTGGTGTGTTACCTCTAAGAATATATTACAATATCTAAATATACATATATGTGCGCGTATACGCGAATATGCACACGTATACACATACATTTACACAGTTAAGAGCATATGTACAAACGCACGCGCTTTATGCAAAAGCCAGATAATATCCTGAAAGGTCATTAACTATTCACAAGACTTATTCGTTAAAACAATAAATATTCATTAGCATATTTACAGGAGGAAGTATATAATACACAAGAATCTATGAGCATTCTGACCTGCTGAATAATGAAATTAATGTCAACGTGCGATAAAAGTTCTCTTGACGAAGTAACCTTTGCGTAACTTATCTCAAGAGTACGCAAAAAATCGTATATGGAAGAGAAGAGAATTTTCTGAAAAGAAAAATGATAGTCAAAGTAGGGAGTGCAGTGAGGAAACTGCTAGAAATTACAATCTTACGAGTTTCGTCAAATTGTGGGTGGAATAAACAAAATATATGCTTGATATAAACAAATTCGGTAACTTACAGTATATTTTATATCAAGTATTTCAACATTTAGAAAAAATCGCACGATGTATACGGAGAAAGGTGATCCAAACGGTGATTGTTAGCGATTGTCGATGTATTACAAACGAAATCCCTCGAATTCGCATCTGTCTCTCTGCTTTCTCTTCTGTTAAAAATAAAATTATCCTAGTTACGTTAAATATCACGAAACACTAATTATACACGTGCGAGCAAATCGTGCTCCGAGAAAAACGCCCGATAATTCATCATCGCCTCGCTCCATCGGGTAATATTGATACGTGTATGCATTGGATCGTCGATGAAACGGAAACTCGGGACAACGGACAAATCAGCCGTGTGAGTTAATGCCTTTTAATTGTACTTGATAACAGCCCACACGGAATTCCCATGCGCGAAATACTTGAACGCGAGAGGACGCGAATTAGAGTCTCTCCGTCGGCGTTCTGCGTTGTTATCGTTGACGATATTAGTTATTTCGTTGTAATTTGCATTTTGTTTAAAGCGCAAGGCAATTTCGCTCGTCTCTGCTGCAGTACCGCCGCTGTAATCATGTGCGTTGTTGCATGTGTCTAATCGATCCTGGAATAAAATCCCGGGAAATTATCAAAGTCACCCTCTGCCCCCCCCTCTCCCTCTCTCTCTCTCTCTCTCTCTCTCTCTCCGCGCGTTTCGATCAAGCAGACAACTCGTCGCTCGTTGGACGACGAAGGAACGACGCTCTGCGGCGCCGTGCACATCGTGAAATTGTTCCCCGTGAAATAACTCCACGCGGTCGAAATTACTCCCACTTTCCTCAATTACTGGTGGATATCCGAAACGAAGAAGACGAAAAGTTTCCTTGCGATACCTTGCGAGCGAGCGGGGAAACGCTCGTGACTAGAACACGGCTCCGAAGGCCTCGCATCGCGAAATCGGAGAAGACGGCTGATGATGTTTGTGCCGCTCGGTGGTACCTGGCCTGCACCGTTTGCAGCGCGACGGTGAGCCGACTTCCGTGGGTGGGAAAGAAAGAGAAAGAAAGAAAGAGATGCGTAATAATAACTTAACGTCGGGTTTAGAACGCTTGCTGGTGGGAAACTCGCAGCTTCGGTGGAAGTCGTAGAAACAATGATTACTTCCGTGATTATTCTCCTGGATCCGAAAGCCGTCGGTCTCGAGTTACGACTCCACGAAGAATATACATATATATATATATATATATTTATTTATACGTGTGTAAATTAGCCTCGATGCGGCGACATCTAAACCTAATCGAAATCGTAGCAGTCTCATCAACGAGTCATCAACACCATAATGAGTCACGATGCGTATACGTACGGGAGATGAGGAACAGACTTGCCTGACATTCAGTGTTCGCCAAGTTAACGTTTCATAATGTCTTCTATGGTGAAGCCGAGCTTGATAGGCGCGATCGTGCTGCGATCGGTTCTTTCAAGCGGCAAGAGATTGCTCATTCGTTCCGTTAATTGCCTGACCTCGGTGGAGGGGGAGGTGATCCTCGAATTTGAGGACACTGGGCTGGTGTCGACCCGGAGGTCCTGCGGGACGTCGGGCGGCGTGTGCGTGAGGAGATGCGTCTTCAGGTTGCTCCTCTGATTGAAACTCCGTCCGCAGACCGGGCACTTGTGCGGCGACTCCTCCATGTGTAAAATCCTGTGGACCGCCAGGGTCCTGCTCTGGCAGAATCCCTTGCCGCAGTCGTTGCATTTGAACGGCTTCTCCTTGCTGTGTATGTACCTAAACGTCAAAGTTACGTTTTCGTCAGTACCGGGACGTGAGCGGAGTCATTGTGTTCAATCAGGACTCGTAGGACTTCCTGCGCGCGCGCGCGCGTTCGCCCTCCGATTGAATTCAACAGCCTCTGCGCTTGGCGAAATTTTTGCGATTCATGCTTGTTCTACGGTCAGTGGGAGAAAGGCCTTTCATCTTCATGAACTTCAGAACGCATATGCAACATTGCCAAACTTTTTGCCAATCTTTTTTGATAGGAGAATTAATTTTTTTCGTATCTTTTTAATCTTCTAATGGGAGAATGACAAACAATGAAAACAAATTTTCAATGCATTGCGAAACTGTGCATCGATACGTAAAGTAAGACTTTGTTCGGTACTCGTAGCGCGTAGGTAGCGCTGTAGCATATCTTTGTCTCTTCTTCTATTCCGTAGTCCCGTTAATAGTTACGTGGAATTTACTTGCTACGAACGCTGAGCGTGAAATTTCCTCGTGAAAGCGAGCAATGCGTCGATATCGATGAACAACAAGTGTGCCGATACGTCGATATCGTTAGAGTCGTCAATTTCGTCCTTTGCGCGTGCAGTCCGATACGATTTCGTCCTTTCCTATTTCGTCGATGCTTATACGTTTTTATCATCGTGCGTCGTTTACAACATTGTGCAACGTCACTCATACTTTTGTCGAGAAAACAAAATAGAATATAAAGTGGAAAGTGGAGTCCCTGCGAGTTAATAAAGCGCAAACGACTGAGCAATTACTGAGAAACGTATCGAGCAGCCGCGCTTTCGGGGCGTTACTCACCGGTGGTCCCGCAAATGATCCTGCCTGC